CCAGAACCGGTACCTACCGAAACGGGTAAACTCATGCAGTCAGAGTGATGGTAAAACACCTCCAAACATCCGGTGGTAAAATGCAAAAGTCGGGGAAAGCACGTGCGTCAGCAAGTGAGTCCACCGAGACACGCTGTAGTTGGCCTCAACTCACAGAAGGCAGACCATACAATCACCAACAAGAGACAAACTCTGACAACCGTAGTATTTGCAATGCATCAGTGTCGGAGGCCTGAGAAACCACTACGTGTACCATTCGTCCAAAATGGATACGTCACAACTGTGATAAGGGAACAGCAGGTCAATGCTACAGCTTCTTGACGGAGCACCCATGTTAGCGGATGTGGCACCGGCGTCGGAAGTGTGGTATATTACCTGCTATTACCAACAAGAACCTGAGGACCTGGGTGAAACCCCGAGAAGCTCCCAGAATCCACCCACCAAAAATTGGCAAGCTTTACAATCGCGCAAAGATGTTACCCTTAAGGATAAAAAACTACCAGTGAGTTACTGACAAAGTCTTCACATCTCGTAGATACAACTCAGAAGACCCAACGAGAGCAGACAACCTGAACAAATACGTTGCGTCAAGGACAGATGGACGGATGTAAGTACGAGAGAGGGTGGACTTAAAACATTAACTACCAAACGGATTCTATCATCTGGTTTAATGCCCCACACCAACGGGATTACTCAGAAAAATCACAGTAATCTGACGAGAAGTGGTGGGACGACTGCTGAGAGAAGCTGAAATTAGAACCCATCGCAGTTGGCTTATTATGTTTCTGCCGAGGAAGAAGTGCACTTTCAGATAAGCTGCCACGTCTCAGGGTGCTATCGATGACGGAGAAACAGTAGGAGGACATAATACTGCTGTTGCGTAATAATAATAATATTTATTCCTGAATACATAGGCACACACCATTTTTACAGGTATGAATAAGTTTATATACAAATTGCATTCATCTTCATGGAAGGTAGTCTCAATCCCCACCCGCTGTCACTAGAAGATGTAAGTGCTGCGTCTTCGCATATTGGAACATCCCAGCGGAATAAGTGTGCATAAAATTTACAAGTTGAGCGACTGGGAGCATTGTCTTCGCATTAACAAAAAACCAGGTTTGTATCTAGACACTACAGGTGTAAAGGAAAAGTGATCTGAAAATCCCTCCCGATCACCCTTATTTGATTGTATTGACATTTATTTTAACATTTTACCCTCGTTATGGATGGTGTACCTTTGACCCTCGCCGGTGTAATGTTATTTGCTTGTTTAACTGTCTTATTTGACTTTACACTCTGTATTTGCCTTTATATGTTTGAGACTTATTATGGGTGTTTCACTTTCCTATTATGTGACGCTGGACTGTTGATAAGGTGATGTTGTTTTACTGCGCACAACATTTTGTTTTGGCTCAACTTACGGTTGTGCAGTGATTTGACTGTTTGTCTTTTGACTGTCTACTGGGAACGTTTGTTTGTTGATTTGATTCCTGTAGGCAGAGTTTTGATCCCTTTTGCCGGGAATATTCCTATTGACCGACAGGTATTTAACAGTTGTATTTTTTAACCAGTTTTTACCGTGTAGTACGTATTTGTACCCGAGAACGTTTTGGACTGTATAGTTACCCAACGACACTGTTGAGGTATTTTTGTAATTTGACATAACTTATTGTTGCTTTGATAGTACTGTAGCGGCCAGAATCCAATAATCTTGGCCTGAACGCGGGAAATAGCTAGGCGGTGCCAACTGACGTGAATCTGACTAGTTCCTGCGTTCTACTGTATAGCTTCCTAACTTCCGCGAGTGACGCACAGTCAAAGGTTGGATCGAAATATCAAAACACGGTTTGTAGTAATTCAATAGCAGATTCGTAACAAAATCTGTGGTACTATCAAAGCAACAATAAGTTATGTCAAATTACAAAAATACCTCAACAGTGCCGTTGGGTAACTATACAGTCCAAAACGTTCTCGGGTACAAATACGTACTACACGGTAAAAACTGGTTAAAAAATACAACTGTTAAATACCTGTCGGTCAATAGGAATATTCCCGGCAAAAGGGATCAAAACTCTGCCTACAGGAATCAAATCAACAAACAAACGTTCCCAGTAGACAGTCAAAAGACAAACAGTCAAATCACTGCACAACCGTAAGTTGAGCCAAAACAAAATGTTGTGCGCAGTAAAACAACATCACCTTATCAACAGTCCAGCGTCACATAATAGGAAAGTGAAACACCCATAATAAGTCTCAAACATATAAAGGCAAATACAGAGTGTAAAGTCAAATAAGACAGTTAAACAAGCAAATAACATTACACCGGCGAGGGTCAAAGGTACACCATCCATAACGAGGGTAAAATGTTAAAATAAATGTCAATACAATCAAATAAGGGTGATCGGGAGGGATTTTCAGATCATTTTTCCGTTACAAGTACCACAGATTTTGTTACGAATCTACTATTGAATTACTACAAACCGTGTTTTGATATTTCGATCCAACCTTTGACTGTGCGTCACTCGCGGAAGTTAGGAAGCTATACAGTAGAACGCAGGAACTAGTCAGATTCACGTCAGTTGGCACCGCCTAGCTATTTCCCGCGTTCAGGCCAAGATTATTGGATTCTGGCCGCTACAGTACTCAACAACCCGTCACTGCTGTACCTGGCAATCGCAAGGTGTTCCTTGAGTCAATTCCGGACGGGGAAGGTGACATGTCCATGGATCCGACCTCAGATACCAAGCAAGTCCCTCTTGATGTTATTTCATGCCGTGGCTCTGATAATGGTACAGTTATTGACTATAGTAAGACTAGTCCTTGTAGGACCTCTGCTCAGTTGAAGGTACGACAGTTGGATGAAAGGCAAGAGTTGGAACTTCGTGAATTCAAGGCTAAACAAAGACAGGAAAGGTTGCGTCTGCATAAAGAACTCAACTTAGATGTGAATGGGGGTTTAGGTGATACCTTTTCCTTGGATGATGATATAAAGTGTCACAAATCAGTTTGTCTTGGCATTGACCCTCATAGCAGTTCTGATCGTGAAACGACTAGCCAGGCGAGCAGCGCAGAAAACAAAGGGGTTGCCGCTACGTTGCCTTGTGTCAGTGTTGGCCATGAGTTACCGAAAGTAGAATTAAGCAGCTTTGACGGACATCCAGCCAAATATTGGAAGTTTATGAGGCAGTTTGAGCTCTACGTTGTCTCTAAGGTTGATGATGATGGACAGAGGCTGTTATACTTGTTACATTACTGTAAAGGTAAGGCCAGGGAGGCTATAGAGGAATGCATTATGTTACCACCATCTGCTGGTTATCGTAGGGCTCGGGATATACTCAGACGTTTGTTTGGAAGGACTCATGAAGTCAGCCGGGCCTTACTACAGGATCTGATGGAATGCTCGAACATAGAACAAAACGATGCTGAGGCAATGTCGAGGTTAGCTATAAAAATGGAAAACTGCGCTATAGCCCTAGAGCAAATGGACTATACTGCGGACCTTAACTCCTTGAGAACTTTAGAAGGTATAGTAAAGAAATTGCCCCGTGTGTTACAGATGAAATGGGCGGAGACTGTCGAAAAGCTAACTGAAACCGAACGAGAACCTACCTTCGCAGAGTTAACGCAGTTTGTGTCAGCACGTGCGAGCATTTTGCTAAGTAGGTTTGGACAGCTGGCAACAAGCAGTCGACGACCAGATAGTAAAATAGCATGTTCCACGCAGCAGCTAGTACCCGTTGGGGGAGTCCTGAAACCTTCATGTATATTTTGTGGAGGGAACCATGTAGTCACAAAATGTACCACATTTCTGTCGTTACCGGTGGATGAGAGATGGTCGAAGGCTAAAGAAACAGGTTGTTGTTTTTCATGTCTTAAAAGGGGCCACAGGTCCGTAGAATGTAAAATTCACGGGGTGTGCAGTGTAGAAGGTTGTAAAGCATACCATCACCCTCTGTTACACAAGAAGACCCACCACGCCGTAGGCGAACAACCGGAGAAAGGTAGTTGTGGATGCACTGAGTCTCTCAGAGAAAGCGTGTGTTTGGGCCTACTCCCGGTACGTGTAAAGCACGGTAATAAAGAGGTTTACGGTTATGCTATCTTGGACAATGGCTCTGATACAACTTTGATCACGAAAGATGTTTTGCAACTTCTAGGATTGTCGACTGACGGCACAAAGACTATCATCAAAACTGTTAGTGGAAGTAGATTGGCGGACTCAGTCAGCAAGCCTTTCGAAGTTTATTCACTAGACGGAAACGAATGCATACTTATAGATCGAGCAGTTGTGGCAAGAGATCTCCCAGTACGGAGACCTAAAGGGTCGATGCGAGAAAGTATTAAAAGGTGGCCGCATCTGACTGACGTACCCTGGACAGAGGTGGAAGACGGGGAGGTATTGCTGCTCATCGGTTGCGATGTACCTGAGGCTCACTGGGTTCTAGATCAGAAGTTAGGGGGCAGAAAGAGCCCATATGCTGTGAGATCATTGTTGGGCTGGGTCGTGTTCGGTCCGACAAGCTTTCGTGAGCACAGGGAGAGGGTTGTGAATTGTACGTCTCGGTCAGATCTATTAGTCGATCAATGGAAGAAAATTTACGATTATGAGTTCAGCGATTTGTACTCGGGAGATAAGTCGTTATCTCTCGATGACCTAGCCGCTGTAAACATAGTGCAGCGAGGTACTTATTGGGATAATGGACATTTCGTTGTCCCCTTACCCTGGAAAATGGAGTCCAAGAGAGTATACGGTGGATGCGAAGTAGCCAGGCGACGTTTGGAGAGTTTGAAACGCAGACTAATATCCTCTGAAAGCCTTCGCGAAAGCTACACTAGCGCCATGGAAGAGACCATCAGAAAGGGATATGCAGCAGTAGCTCCTGAGCCCCAGCTTGATCCTAGCTACCGCCCACGATGGTATTTGCCGCATCATGCCGTATTTAACCCCAAGAAACCGGGGAAGGTAAGAGTTGTGCTGGACTGCGCTGCCAAACTGTCCGGAACTTCTTTAAATGACTTCCTGTATCAGGGA